AACGTCTGGGCAGCATTACGGAGACCGAAAGTCATAAAGCGAAACTCGAACAGGCCAAACGGAGTTGTAATAGCTGTCTTCGGAATGTCTGCCAGTGCAAGCGGTATCTGATGATACGCTTTCTGCAAATCTATCTTCGAAAACATAGTTTTACCATGAAGAATACTCGTCACATCATGAATGAACGGAATCGGATACCGATCAGGTTTAGTTTGCGCGTTGAGCATGCGATAATCGCCACACGGTCTCCAACTTCCATCGCCTTTGCGAACCATGTGAAGTGGACTTGCCCAACAGCTTTTCGAAGGTTGACAAATCCCCGTCTGGACTAAAAATTGGAATTCCTTCTTGGCTTCTTCAAGTTTGGCTCCAACTAAACGTCGGGGACGAGCAAATGACGGCGCACCAAATGTCTCGATGCAATGTTCAACCTTAGTAACTAAACCCATCCGATTTGCACTCATAATGCCTAAATCACGGTATTCATTAACCAGCTCAGCATAAGCTGAAACTGAACCACACACACGCACAGTATCTTCTTGAGACACAGCAGCCTTACCCTTCATCATCAAAGTCGTCTTCGAATCAACTAACCGCTTCCTTTTCAAATCCACTAACAAGTCATAGTGATTAAGGAAGTCGGCTCCAACAATAGGACAGCTAACATCCGCAATCACGAACGTCCACGGGAAATGTCTACGCAAACCCAAAGACAAAAGCAGTCGACGCTCGCCAAATGTTTGAATAGGCGTACCATTAGCGGCATATAAATTAACTGATGCAACACTGTTAGCCCTTTGCTTCCAACGACAGAACGACTTCGGTAAAACTGATATGTCCGCACCAGTATCAATGAGAAAAACGGTCGACGTGGCGGGATCTTTAATACTAAGTCGAGCTATACGAACACTAACCCCTTCTCGGCTCGACGACGTAGAAGGAGTGCCTAGTTTTTTGACTGATGAGAGCCTGCCACAAAACTACAGGGCTGCCGACAAGCATTAGCTCTATCACCAAACCTTTCGTGATACCAGCACCAATCTGGATGACTTCCTGGTCGGGAACGAGTTCGCCTACGCCTCCTCGATGACGATCGACTTTGCACCGACTCACTACGACGTAAATCCAAACGACTCAGACGCTGTTCGATTTGCTCAAGCCTTCGTAAAATCACAGCATTCTCAGAATAGGCTGGACAATCAGAGGCTGACGCTACAGCTATCTGTTGAAAATCACCCGCCTCGCAAATACGGTCTGCTAATTTCGCCAGTTCTGCTAGTGCCACATTCGATGCCTGCAGAATAGCGCGCACTTGTGGTGGCAAACGCTTCAGCCAAAGAGACTTAAGGAACTCATCGCTCACCTTGTCTTTAGCTAACGCTGTCAACTCCATTAGCAACTGTGTTGGGCGTCTATCACCAAGTTCAACTTCTGACAACAACCGTTGAATCTTCCGCTGCTCGCTCTCACTGTACCGCTCTATGATGCAAGCCTTTAAATTAGCGTATCTTCCAGTTTCAGGAGGATGAAGCACTGCATCACTTACATCGGCGATAACACTTGACTCAATCGCTGCTACTACCGTGTTGAACTGTGTGATGTCACTCGTAATGGCAGCTACTGCGAATTGCGCCTCGATCTGAGCAAACCAAATCTCCGGTCGCTCGTGCCAAAACGGTGGCACCTTCACTGCTACACGGTTTACGACACTTCCACTATCAGAAGCCATTACTACACCTTCGTCTGCAACTGACATCACAGCTCGATAATTAGATATTTAGCTCAGAAGTTAATATTTCTAAATTTAAACTTTTTCGAGATCACGTCGGGGTCACCAATTTAGCAATGATCTGTTCACCTTGCTAATTAATAAAACTCTAAAAATTTTCAATGTTAATAAACTTTTATTCAACTTTTTACAGAGAGAAAAATCGAAACGTTCTCCTCAATCAAAACAAAAAACTTAAAAATATTTGAAATTGAATTTTACTTTTTAAATTCAATAAATGCACAGCCAACTGGGTCGCCACAGATTGTTCTTTAGTTTTTATTAAGTTTTTCTTAATAATATAAACATATATAAGATTTTTCTGGATTTTTAATAGGCTACCGCAATCCGAATGTCTCAGTTCTTTGGTTTGGCCCCAATTTTAATGGGTCCAGATAAGCGACGTTCTAGTGTATATATTTTTGTATATAGTAAATGTGACCATTGGTTTTTTTTTTGTCTCAAAATGGGTCAGTTTTTAGATTTTGTGTAGAAATAGGACGTATGGTCACCTTATATATACTCCTTTATATTTATCGCTGTTATGTTTATTTATAGGCATTTCTTATAAATACATTTTTACAAATTTCTGTTTATATAAATATTACAAATTTTAGTAAAAATAATATATATAACAAATATAATATTGTTTTGTATTAAATTATAAAATTATTTTTATAAATTAAAAAAAATTCCTTAATAACCAGTTTTACGTGTTGTTTTTGTATTAATTTTTCAAGTGTAATATTACCATATTTATATTGTTTTTGTTTCTTTTTTTATTTGCATTACATTTTATCAGCTGCAAACTTAATCAAGCACCTTATCAAAAGAGAGCAAGCAACAAATCATCACATGCGACCTTTGCTCTCTTACTTGCACATATGAGCTCTCAATAAACTTGTACTCCAAACAGAGTAGCTGCTCTTGGTTATCAGTTGAAAACGACATGAAAGCTTCGGCTTCTTACTTGCTTTGCGTTGCTTTGCTTATATTTCTAACTACTCATCCACACTTGTTAGCTTTAGATTACAAATCAAAATATTTCACCCATTGCTGTTCTAATGTAATTCTACTGATTTTTATTTTAACTTTGACTGCCGAGCGGCACGCGTTGTTCATAAATTATTTATAATTATTTAAAGTTGAACAAGTGAAATTTGTTTGAAACTTAATTCAAAAATAAAGAAAATTAAAATTCAATCAAAAAATGTTGGATTTAGATCAAGTGAGTGAATTTTGTTTTTCATTTGCATTTCTTTTCTTTTTTATTTGCATTTTTCTTTTTGGCGACAAGCTGTTTGATTTATTTTCTTTGTCGGCGTTTTTATTTTCTTTTGGTGTTGTTTTTGTTATGCTAATAATTGGGTGAATGTGACGTCATTGATGTAATGTCATATTCTGTGTGTTTTGTGTGTCACTTTGTTTTGCATTAATTTTAGGGTTAAATCCACATTAAAAAAAAAGTGATTAATTAATTTCGTTACAATAAATATGTGCATTTCGAGGTCATGGCTATCAACGTGGTTTGCGTTTGTGTTTGCGTTATGCAATATGCGTATTAAGTTAAATTTTTTATTTTTTAAAAAATATTTTAATAAGTTATCTATATGTTAACAGACTGACAAATCTGCTGATTAACGTTAGAAAGACAGAAATAACATTTTTCATTTTATTTATTTTTATGTTGGTTTGGAAAAGAATTTGCAAACTCATGAATTAATTATTGATGTAATATAAATAAGAAAAATTTCTAAGTTAATTAACAATTTCAATGTAATTAAGTGTTTTGAAATAGTCCATAATGATCTAATTCAGTGCCGTAGCTTAAAATTCTAAGGTGACCAGAGTGTACATATTTAGGTCAAAGCTTAAATTTGAAAATTAGTTTAGTAATCGTTTTTCAGATAATTTAAAAAAAAGTTTCAGTTATAAGATTTCTTATTAATTAGGAAGACCGATAAAAATATATACAAAAATAACTCTTGATAAATTAATTCGAATGTGTGCTTAATACATTAAAAAGTAAAGTTATCTTTTATTTTGGTCGTTTGCGAGTTAGAGTAAATTAATGGTAAATTGAGGGAATTGAGGGATATTTACCAGAATTTCGGTAGGGTAGGGTAAATTAGGTATTACGATTCTGAAAATTTTATAAGATGTTTAATAAATAAATAAATAAATTTAAAATATTTTAACCAAAAATAATAAATATGTGCAATAAATAAATAAATAAATATTTACATAGTGCAGTATAAAAAATCCCTAGGAAATTTCAATTTACTTTACCTCAATTTACTCGACGTCTATATGTATTTCGGTAAGTTCGATTTTGTCTTCATCAGAAGAATTCGTGATATTCTATTCTATAATTCCTAATATATTAGGAATTCTCCTAATGAAGACAAAAGCGAATTTGCCGAAATACGTATACAAATATACTGGAAATAATGCTCGAAATAAAAGTTTAAATTCTATACAGAAATTCCATATTTAAATTCTATAAAACGGCTATACAGTCAAACTTCCATTACATACAATTCTGCTTCCATAACTTCAACTTCTATAACTCTATTTTCTCTATAACTCGAATAAAAATATTTAGTATGAATCCATTTTGGTGTTAGGGGAAGTCCCTTTTTTCAAACCAAATGTTTAGTTTTTTTTCTTATATTGCTTCTTTGTGCAAATTCCAGTCGCTGACAGTGTGATTTAAAATGAATAAAATAACTTCCAATGCTACTCTTAACCATTATATTAAATTGAGCTTGACCATGAAATTTGTACATCAAGCTTTCCTACAGATGATATTATTGAGCATTATAGCTTTATCCCATTATAGTGAATGCGAATCTAAGCGCAACGGAAAGTGATGATGAGGGTTCGGTGAATGAAATTGTTTTTCAGTCTTCTAAGAATGTAGTAGAAGACTCATTCAAAATTCTGAAGATTTATTTACAAACAAATGATACTCTAACTGATTATCATTATAAGGCTTGGAATAAATTGGAATCTTTTTTGCTGAAAATAAGAAAAAAATTAATATCCCATACCCTAATTTCTGAATGTTTCATTTCACTATAATTTCAGTTTTATATTTAAATTTAAATAAATAAATATCTTAAACTTTAATTTTAATTTCTTTAAAAAATAAAAAAAAATATAAAAAAATTCTCTGCTTTGAAGGAGACTTCAACCTCGAACCTTTTTTTTCAAAATGGTACTTCGAGTTATGGAAGTTTGACTGTACTTTAAATAGTTTCGACGTAACAACTCAAAAAAATTAGAAACAATATGCATTAAAACGATTATTAATTAAACAAATCATTAAATCATTAAGCTGAGGAGTGAGAGAAAATGATTTCCGAAGTTAGGGCTGCATGCCAACAAGTTACATTAAAGGAAACATTGGCCTATATATAATCCCACCAAGCGTTTGCAAAAACAAATGTAAAGTAAATCTGAAACGTCTGACAGTAACCTACCTAACCCTGCATCCCTAGACTTTGGCAAGTATTTTGCATACACTTTCACTTTATCACTAAAAATAAACAAATTTTTATTTGCAGATGAAATTAAAAAAAAATTATACGTATTTACATTCACACATAGAAATCTCGTCAAAGTTAAGCCAGTGTAGACGGCCAGTAACACACATTTACTAATTGAGTTGGGGTAATTCGCATTTACACTGACTAGTTTAAATTAGGTTATGTTAAGTGACGGTCTTGTGCCCGAAACCCACTTGAGCTCATATAATGGTCCACGGATTAGCGTTGTTCATACCAAGATCTCGAGGATTACCGAAAGGATCACAGTGGTTAGCAAACTACACTGGCTAGACTTTACATTTTTGGTGTGAAATTTGTATGTTTAGGGGAAATATAAAAGTGTATGATAAAATCTTGCCAAATTCTAGCTAGTGTAAACGCAAGTTAATGCAAATAGCAACTGAAACAGCTTAGGGCACTTTGTTAAAGTTAACTTTTGCAAAATAAAAACAATTATAATTGCTTTGAACTTTGAAACCAGTTCAAAACATCGTATATTCTTGTCTGTTGCTAAGTTTATACAAATATTAAAATCAATTTTAAATTAGATTTTAAAATCCATGTCAAGAATGTTTAAGTGCACAAATTAAAACTACTTTTAACGTTACTTTTTGCTAATAACTGGCATTTAAACCGTATAATTATGTCTAGTAAGGTAAAAGTGTTTTCAAACTAAATTCCTTTAATGGGGTTCACACGAGCTTAAACCTGATTTAAAGAGCCAATTTAAAAGGTAAATGAAGCAAATTGTAAAACTTATGTAAACGAGATAATTATGGATCACTATAAGATCATTCAATACTCATTTGTTTTGTTGGTAGCATTTTTAAAAGTTAATATTGAAAGGTATTTGTAAAACAAAACATTGTGTTTTCTTTTTAATATAAGAATATTATTATTCATGATTAAAAAAAAAGCGTTGAAAAAGTTAATAATGTGGTTTTGTTCTTCTAATAATTATAGCTCATTCCTATCGCAGTTGGAGTGGCGGTTGTTTTAACTGGTGCTGTTTTATATTATTTCCTGAATAAAAAATCCACAACTAAAGCACGTCCAGAACCAAACCGAACGGCTCGTTTGCGCACATTAATTGATCCAAATGATAAATATCAATTGCCGCTAATCGAAAAAGAGGTGCTCAGTCATGATACACGTCGCTTCCGCTTCGGTTTACCATCCAACCAACATATACTTGGTTTACCCGTTGGACAGCATATTCATCTGATTGCAACTATTGACAATGAATTAGTTATACGCCCGTACACTCCAGTTTCATGTGACGATGATCAGGGTTTTGTTGATCTAGTTGTGAAGGTGTACTTTAAAGACACACATCCTAAATTCCCGGCTGGTGGAAAAATGTCACAATATTTGGAACAAATGAAAATTGGGGACAAAATATCATTCCGTGGTCCATCGGGTCGGTTACAGTATCTAGGAAATGGTTCATTTTCAATTAAAAAATTGCGAAAAGATCCACCGAAGGTTGTTACAGCGACGCGTGTGAACATGATTGCAGGAGGGTCTGGTATTACGCCAATGTTGCAACTAGTGCGTGATATACTCAAGAATAGTGAAAAAGACAAGACTGAATTGGCATTGCTGTTTGCTAATCAAGTGAGTTTTTACATTTATAATGTTCTTATTTTGAGAATATATATTTTCTTTATTTTTTTTACAATGTTTACAGAGTGAAGAAGATATTTTGTTGCGTAAAGAATTGGATGACTTGGAACAAAAGCATGGTCAACAGTTTAGGGTTTGGTACACCATTGACAAAGCTTCTTCTGAAGGTGAGGCGTTTGCTTTATTTATTTTTCTTTATATTCCTAAATAATAAGATTATTGTTTTAATTAATTACCTAACTATAATTATGTATAGAAAATATTTTATTTTATAATCTTTAGTTAGATTTATTAATTTTTTTTTTT